TATTAAATTTATTAATATATTTATATTAATTATGCATGTAGTTTTTATATAAAATAAGTAATCAAATATTTTCAATTTACTCAAAATTTAATATACATTATTTACGCAAAACATCATAAAATTCGATGGTTAATTTATTAAAATATTGATCATAAAAAATTAAAATTATTTAAATTTTACGCTAGTGCAAATAGATGCCTTCTTATGATATTTATATAAATTAATTAATTTAATTTACATATGAAATTTGTGTTTATCATAGAGATGCTGGTGGTTTTGTCAACTTATTGCATTTTCATATAAATATTTTTGAATTTATTAGTTAAGAGATTCATCAATAATTTTGTCAACTTGTTCTATTTTCAAATTTTAAATAAATATATTTGTTTATTGAAGAGATGCCGGGTTTTTATAAATGGTTAAACTATAAGTTTCAATCATCGAACTTTGATAATATTCCTGTTTTGGCTACAATCATTTAGAAATTTCAATTTGATCATATAACTTTGACATTACTCCCTTTTTTTACTATACTGTTGATTATTTAATAATTTTATTACAGGATATATATCTTTTAAAAATAGTAAAAATACCCTAAAAAATCTTTAAAATTTATTAAAATAATATTGAAATATTCTTTCTCAAATTTTAAACTTGGCTTTTCAAAATTTTGTTATTTTTTCGACGTTGAAACATCTTTCTTCGTATCTCAATGGTGGGGAGATGAAAAAGGAAGAGACAAGTATTTACTTCATGGTTATCATACTATGTGGATCGTAGACCGAAGTTGTTTTCTTTCGAATTTAAGTTGAGGTTTTACGGGTTTCTAAAGATATTTTGGGAAAATCTAAATGATTTAATGATAGGGGATGATAAGCTGAATTTATCGGGTCGAAAGTGGTAAGAGAAGATGCTAAAGAACGACAACGTCGATGATGACTTGATATAGGATTAAAACTCTAAGAGTCTTAAAATTAATTGGGAAGATAATTAAATGAGAAAAAAATATAAAAATCAGAAAAAGAGGAGGTGGCTTCCACGACAATAAAAAAAACCCACATCAGGAAAAAAATAGGACATGTCACCTTGTTATTTATAATTTAATACCCAAATAACTAAACAAAGCAATCTGAAAATAAAAATAGGATCAAAGTTGAATGATGAGAAGTATAATTAATTTTTTATACATAAATAATTTCAGTCAAAAGATCAACGGACATTAGGCTTTATTTTTCATTCAAAAGATGATAACCAATATAGTTGTTCGATTTTATTAGTTTTAAGTTGTATTTTATCGTATTTCTAATAATATTTCTTCTTTGTTAATGAACAACGAGTCGAGTCGAACAATAACTTTTTTAATGAGCATGAATTGAGTATTATTCAACTCACGATCAACTCGCTTAATAAACACCCTTCTCACAAGTCAACTGAACCCTAATTATCTCTTGTTAGATCAAAATGAGTGGTGCTTGGTTTTTCAATAGACATGCAACTCTTCCAATTGAGAATCTTGAGTGAGTCATCATCAAATTACGAAACCAGTCACCGCAAAGTGCTCGTACACGCCCCTTCCAATAAAGTGATCACCTACTGTGAAATTTTTAAAGAAAAATTATTATCTCTCCAATGAAATAAGTATCATGATAATCTTGAGCTTCTTTAGTTCCATAAAGTCATAGAGAAGCTATTATGTCTATATGATCTCTTTTCCTAAATATTTTTAATGAGTTCAAATCCTTATACATATACAATATTATCGTCCAAAACCGTGAATCGTTTGAAGTTAAGGATATGTAAGTTAATCATATTTGATCAACAATAATTATGTGTGGGATTTGGTATTTAAAGTAAATTTGGGTCTTCTTCGATCAGAAGCGAAGGCCTAAGGGTTTGCTTGCATAGTAGCTTTGGCTAGTTTGCCTAATTTGTCAACCTTTTATGATCTGAGTTAATTATATTATATATCCTCAAAGTATGATCTTCATTTTGAATTAATCCATAAATTTTTAAAATTTTCAATTTTAATGAGCAACAAAATAGTTTTCTCTTAAAGGGGAGGGGGAAAAACAAGCGTCTTCCCTGAACTACTAAAATGTGAAGAGAAATGGCATAATCGCAAATATATAACAACGTCAGTGTCTTTCTCTTACTAACAATCAGTTATAATCCCAAATCCTGCCCTTCTTTCCACTCGCTGCTTCAGCGAAATTAGAAAACTAGAGGACCTAAAAAATGGGAAGCTTTAGATTCTTCTCCAACTTCCTCGCCATTTGCACGATACTGGCCTTACACGTGGTGGTTTTGCCCTCGTCTCCCACCCTCGATTTCCTCGGCTACCATTTTCTTCCAATTAAATCGGAGTGCCGCGGATCCATCTCCGAGTGCCTAATGCTAAATGGGAGGAATCTTCGGGATTCAATGCCGAGTTCGCCGTGGACTCCCATATCAGTAGGCGCATTTTAACGGCGACTCGTTACATCAGCTATGGTGCGCTGAGGAGGAACACGGTGCCCTGCTCGCGACGTGGCGCGTCGTATTACAACTGCCGACCGGGAGCTCAGGCTAATCCTTACTCACGCGGCTGCAGTAGAATTACGCGCTGTCGGCGCTAGATTTATTATTATCATTTTAATTAAAAAAAGTTTATTGGGTTTAAGTGTATCTTATATTTGATTCATAATTATGTGTATTGTTTTTTCAAATATTTTCTAAATTTTTTGTTAAATGCGTGCTCGTATATATAAAAGTTGTAATATTTATTTTATATAAAAATAAATCAAATATCTTTATAGAACCTTATAGAAATATGAAAATTGTAATAAAAATATATACAAAATATTTATAAAATATATATTAATATGAGAAAATTATAGAACGAACGTTAGACTTCATAACATACTACTAATATGACTTCTCGATGCACATAATTAATTGAAATATCTTTCATTTTTATCTCAGTAAAAGTGTCTGTTGATTTTTTAAGATATATTTTTTACAAAATATCTTTAATGATAATGTTCACTTCACGTCTTAAGCTGATTGTTTCGAAATTTTTTATTATTTGTATTACACTATTAGTATATAATATATAATTTTTTAGTATATAATATATAATTTTTAGTATATATATATATACACACATTAAATGTTAGTATCTTACTAAATTAATATAAAATTTTGAATTTTTCTATTTAATATTCGATTTCTTTTCACAATTTTCTGTTTTTGATGCACTGCTAGTGTCCATGAAATTGGATACTAAGTCATGGCGGTAGTACAGTTAGTTGGAGGAGAAAAATATTTTAATTTGTAAAATTTTTGGATATGGAATTTCATTTTTTATTTTATTTTTTCATATTGAGTTTTGTGGTACCGAATCTCCCTTTCTAAAGTGATTTCAGACAACAAATGGCCCCCAAAAAAGTACAATTTGTTGTTAGAAAATAGTTGGATACATTAAATTGTCCCACCTTCATTTAAAGTACAATTTTAAGAAATAACCATTGTTATTGTAAACAGTCAGACTGAAATCGAACCAATATAAAATCAAAATTGAAATAGAATAAATCTGAATAAAAATCTACATAAACGGTAAGATTCGAACATACAAATATACAGTGATCATAAGACTCAATTTTAAATACTAAAAGTATCAAGACATCAAAAGATGAACAGAGTGGAATGTTGGAGTTAGGGTTGAGTCGGATACTGATTGACTCAAATTTGACTCGAATAATTTACTCTCTTTTTATTACTTGACTCAAGTTTAGAGAGATTCCACTTATTCTGAAACCCGGTTTAATTTTTTGAAATAAAAACTCGTATCATCGGCTCTCTCATTTTTTATTAGGTAAAATAGGAATCCAATTGAAAAATCTATAAAGAGAAATATATTATTGTAATTATCTTTAAATATATAAAGGATAATTATATTATTATGTCTAGTTAGGTTCATATTGTTCACCTTAAACTAGGATGTAAATGAACAGAGCGTTCAGTGAAATGTTTGTAAACTAGTCATATAACGCTCGTTTATGTTTGTTTGTTAAGTTAAATAAATGAGTATGAATAATTTTTAATGCTTATTTAATAAACGAATAAAGACAAATAAAGGTGTGTTCAATTCATTTATGTTCATGAACAAGCTCGTTTATGAACTCGTTTATAAGCTCGTTTATGAGATCATTTATCAATTCATTCATTTATGTTCATGTACAAACTCGTTTAACCGGTTCTCCTTTTCCTTTTATATTTTTTTACATTTTAAATATTTATGAAGGTATGGACTAAATTAAACAAAAGGTAAAAGTTAAAATTTAAACTGTAAATTTTAAGGAATTTAAGCATCAATGGTGTCATTTTATCATTTTTTTTAGCTTACAAATGAAAGAGTAAAACTATAATTTAACATATAAATGAACACTAAACAAACATTAAACGAACATGCTCGTGAACGCTAAATGAACACATTCGTGAACATAAACGTATACGTTCGCGAATATTGAACGAACATGTTCGTGAACAATAAATAAACGAATATGAACACCTTAAAAAATAAACAAATGAACACAAACATAACATTATTCGTTCAAATTTTGTTCATTTACACTCCTACCTTAAACCCGATCCAACCTTACCTCCGATCCAACCTTACCTCATTTAAAAAAAACATCTTAAATCAGAATTTTCTATTTTTTTTAAAAAAAAGATAAAATCAAATTCTGAGTCTTGAAACTCATCGGGTCCAAATATCATACCCATCCGTAACTGGAGGTGTCAAATTCTCATACATGGTTTAAATGTTTTATTTTTATTTTCTATTAATAATTTAATTTCACTTCTTTTAAAATTTTATGATTTTAAACCCCTAATTTTTAAAATAACTTTTTAAAAATTTGTACCTCTAATAAAAGATCGTCCGTGTTGCATCAAATCATACCTCTAATAAAAATTTAGTTCGGTGATGCATATGAAATGCTTGTTCTTGAACATATAATAATTGGCTGATAGTGTATTATTCCATCACTAAAAAAAGAACAAAGTGGAGGAAACAAGAGTTCTATGGCCATACCAGACCAGAACATCGACATTTCTACTCAGAAATAATGTAAAAACAGCATTTACATGACAGAATTTCAAATCTCAAAGCATTATTCTACTGTGAAGAAGAAGAAATAACTTTGATCATGGACTGAGCTTGAATGGTTGTCAAATTCGTCTCACAAAAGCTTTGCCAAGCCTCCCCTGGATTCGGCTTTTCGTTTTCCATAAATGTTTTGTATACAGAAAACACGATGCTTCTCGCTGCTTCTCGCTGCTTCTCTGGCCTCTGGTAATCTGTCATTCAACAGATCTGAAGCTATTTGTAGCAACGAAACCGACCTGAACTCTCCAATTTCTTCGGATCCCTGCGATATCCGATGAGTGAGACGATGTTCAAACGTTATATAAATGCAAAATAACGGTAGTTTTACCATCTTTGAAACGGAATTGGAAATGGAAACTGCAGCTTTGGCTCGGACTCTAAGGTTGCCATGGTTAACAAATCCGTGGAGCCTTTGAAGAAGAGGTAAAGGAGCAATGGAGTTAACCAGCGCCGTCAGAGACTTATCGGCTTCTTCGCACACGAACTTCTTGTCTTGAGAAGCTTTCAATAACAACTGCAATAACTGTAAATCCACACCGCGAGATTAGAATCATTTCCAACACATGAAAACGAAAACTTGTAAACCTGACAAGAGAGATGATAATCAGGGTCAAGTTGGATTACCCACCAACTGATCAAATGCACTAGAATCAAGCATCTTTTCACCAAAGGAACCGAAGATATCCGAAGCAGCCATAATCGAAGTCTTGCAAAGAGCACTCCTTGGGTTCTTCATTGCCTTTACCTCCACCAAAATCACCTTCTCTCTGGCATTTTCACATACATTTTACCAGTTTAATATCCAGTAAGTATGGCTTTGGTACACTATAAAAAAGGGAATCTTACAGGACTGGAAGCAGTAAATCGGAGTGATATATAGCGAAACGCCTAACAAAATTCAATGACTCGCAAACCGTTACCCAATCCTTTGAATCTAACCCTTCAACCAAGCTCTGAAATTTTCAAAATAAATAAACAGAACGATCAGAATCATGAAACCTTGAACAAGGCTTACTTTTTAAGTAAAAATGGATTACTTGGATGTTTGATTCTGGGTCTTCAAAGGGTTTGAGATTCTCGGAAGCGATGTAATCGACGGAAGCATCGACGGGTTGCGGCAAAGGAGCTGTAACATCCGTAATATCGGGTTAGTGACCAAATTGTAAAGTTTCAGAATTTGGTGACTAAAGTAGAAGAATGAAAGAATTCAACGATTATTTGAATATATATATCGAAGGTTATTTGGTAATTATTAAAGGAAATTAAGGGTATTATGGTCATTTGACCAGAAAGATTTTTATAATTTTTTTAAGGTAATATAAACGTGGGGAAATTGAGAAGCATCCAGAGTTCTCTGCTCCTTTCTTCTTCTTCATACGTGGGAGAGCAAGGCAAAGGTAAGTTTAATTTCAGTTGGTTAATTCTTAAGTTTTAAGCTTAGTTTTGATTCTTTGGGTATTAAATAAGCTTAAGGAAAGCTTATATGGGATTTAAACAATAAGATAAAGGAATTATGAAGGAATTTGCAATATGAGTTTTAAGATGAAATTTTGATATGGTATGGTTGTTGAAGTTTTATGGATGAATTTGACTTGTCATCAATCCAATTAAGAAGTATGAAGTGTTAGAATTGGAATTAGAACACATTGAAAATTTGGTATGATTTTTGAATCTCATATGGAAGATAAGATTTTGAGGTTTAAGATGAAATAAATGAATATAGATTGGTTTAAGTATGTGTACTAGAGTTAAGAATGAAAAGGGGATAATATATGAAGTGTTTGAGTGGAAATGAAGTAATTTTCGGGTTGAAAATATGATTTCTGGGCAAGGGGAATCGGTACCCATTCAAGGGGAACCGATACCCCTTCAAACGAACAACATTTCCAGAATGTCATTAGGGAATCGATACCCCCATAGTAGGGAACCGATTCCCCCTAAAAGAAATTGTGAATATGGGTTTAATAAGTTCGTTTAAGTTGCTAGTATCCAATTACAAGGTGTAGGTATCTAATGATTGCCTCAAAATGTACATTTATGTAGATTCTACGCATAAAGCAATTCCGGAACGTTTGGCAAGTAAGATCGATCAAGGGGAAAGATAAGAGATTGGAATTGACTAGTGAGGCCAGGTGAGTGCATATTCAATAGTATACGATGTGCGATGGGAATAAGACTTGCGATGAGTCTATTTCCTAAAGTGTTACACATGAATTCATGATTAAAGGCATGAGTGGAATATGCATGTATGTATGCTTGATTATATGGATTGATCTGTTCTTTTATGTGTTAGGTGATAAAGTATAAGTAATTACATAAGAAAGGTTATGAATTATATGAGATATAAACTATGTGATCATAGTAAAATATAATTATTATTATTATATGATAAGTGAAATAAGCTGGAAAATATTGATCTATAGGATGAAGTGAGAATAGTACACTAACTAGGAGATTTGAACATAAATGATAAGATGAACATATAAGATAAGCTAGATGGGAAAGATTCATATGTTTAAATAAAACTATAACATATGGGTTGTATGATAGAAATTTATGAAGTTATATGAGAAGATTATAGGAGTTATATGAAATTGAATTAAGTAAACAGATTAGATTATATATATAAAGAAATAATAGAAGTGAGATGTGTTTATAAGTTGCCATAGATGAATATGAATATGAATTATAAGAGTGCTATATGATTTATATTAGCATAAATCTTGAGGATATATATATATAGATAGATATGAAATGAAATGAGTTATAGGAATACATAATTATGTGATGAAATGGTGGATTACCCGAACATGTGAATATATATATATATATATATATATATCTAAGAGAAGGCATAAGGGTAAGATATAAGTAAAGTGACTATAAGTATATATGCTCTAAGTGATATGACTTATAGTTATTTCTATTATAATGTTACATGATATGTTATGTATGTTAAATGAATTATGTGAAGGTATAAGAAATGATATGAAATATATATGTGAAAAAAAAATATATGTTATGAGATAAGACCTATGACTATAAGCTACGTGAAAGTGTTCTAGGTGTTTCTATATATTATATGAAGTATATGATCTTATGTGAACAAGATATGATAAGTATGTTTACATAAATAAATGTGATTGGGTGAGAAGTGATAGAATTATATGAAAACATGATATATGTGACATGTGAATTATATGGAAATGATCTACGTGTAAGTGAACTACGTGACTATGTGATAATATGAAAAGAAGCTATGTGATACGTGATATGTGAAAGTGAATTACATGTTTATGTGAATATTTGAAATGAAATAAATGATAATGCCCATGTTATGTGTCATGAGAGCTAGGGATATAGTTGGCATGCCAAGAGTCGAGGGTTTACCTATGTTCTACGGAACATATGGACAGTTTTACCTATGTCTTTCGAGACATATGGACAGTATACCTATGTTCTAAGGAACATATGGACAGTTTACCGAGGATCTTTATGACCTCTGGACAGTTACCGATGATCTTTATGACCTCTGGATAGTTACCGGGGTCTTTGTGACCTCTGGATAGGTCCTTCGGGACATTTATATGAGCTGTGGTGACAGCATAGTGGTGCACAACCTCAATAGACTCACATATCTACAGTTCTCACAGGTGCACATGGGCTAATAAGAGATAACATGGAATGGAATGTATAAGATATATGTGATGTATATACTTATGGTGATATGTCATGTGTTGCTTGAATTATAATGATGTTGATAAAGATAATAATATACATGGGCAATGCAATTGGAAGACAAACGAAAAGTGAAAGTAATACAAGAAGATATGTTGCGTGTGTGTATGACATGATTATATATATTGTTATCATGCAATAGATACATGCATATTGAAATGTCATGATTCAATGGTAGAAATGCACGTTCATGAATTTATTGTTATATGTTTAATTATTGCCTCACTAAGTCAACGACTTAGCGTGTGATTGTTTCACACGTATGTTTCGAGAAGAATAAAGAGTAATGCGGAACAAGACAGGTCAGTTCTCCTTACCAAATGTCAGATCAGAAAATGTATGTACTGTTTACAGAGTGTAGTTGGCATGTAGTCTAAAGATATAAATGGTATGAACTCTGATATCTGTTGTAAACGTTTTGAAATAATTTAAATGTTATCAAAGTTTTTAAATTACTCACTATTTTATACGAATAAATGTTTGAAAAGTCAATGTGATACTTCGGACTCGTATCCGGGTTGGATACGGGTTGGGGGTGTTACAGGAGCTTTGTTCTCGTCATTTACGCCAACCTCGGGAGCTCTTTTCTGGGTTTGAATCGACACCTTGGCATGTTTCTTGAGTCTAGGATTGTCTGGAGAGATGGGCAGTGCATTATCTATGGGTCTCAAAGCCATCTTTTGCTTTTGAGAAGAAAACGAGAGGAAATCTATGATCGGGAAACAGATTGATTCAAAGCTATGAGAAAGGATTTGAGGCAGAATTTGAATTTTAAAAGGGTTTGAGAAATTGAATTTACTTTCTGATTCGGAGAAGGGGTGGGGGAGGGAAAGGGTTAAGAACGTTTCGAAAATTCAAATTTTGAAGAAAGTAGGTGAAGGAGGCGTTGGACTTTATCTACTAACGGTCGAATCTTTAAAGCGTTAGTCTCTGCAGGTTAGCATGAATTTTTCAAACAATATATATATTAAATTATTTTAAATATTATTATTTAAAGGGTACAATCTCACATCCAATCTGATATGACTCAATATGGATACAAAAGAATCTTTTTTATTTAATAAAATAAGAGTTAAGTTAAAAAATATAGAGATGAATATTATAAAAATTATTTCTAAATATATATAAAAATGTACTTATATAAGATAACATCTATTTAAAATATTCGTTAATTATTAAAAATGTATACATCTGCAGATATAACTATTTGAACTCAATATTTTTAAATGATAAAATTGTCTAAATAATATGATGAAAATTCTTTTTGACTCATTTGGGATGTATGATAAATTATTTTTTCAATTAGGGTGAAATGAACGACGAGTAAGAGAAGACAATCATATCATCTGACGTCTTTATGAAGACACGTGAAAGATTCAAAGTATCTATATGCTCCCATGGTAGGTGCACATCCATACCTTCTTAGACTATATAAAAGATGCTTACTGTTTCATGCGTCTTTCTTGGACAATGTAAAAGACGTCAGTTTCTCTATACGTCTTTCTTATGTTATTGTTTAAAATATCCTATTTGAGAGAATAATTTCAAGGATACAATATATAGGATATTTTTTCATTGCCATATTTGATCGCTTTTGTCCTTTTAGAGAGACCAACATCCCATTTAACTATTGAGATCATTTGATGTGTTTAATATAAACTAGACTTAATTAAATGGTTAAGGGTTATTAGGATATAAGGTTTCAACTTTAATTCATGCTAACATCAAATTAAAAATATATATATAATTTAAGGATTAAAATTATTGTTATATATAAATTAAATTTTAAGTATTAAAATTATTGTTATATTCTATAATGTCATTGTTTCTATTAAATCAACGATTAATCTAAACATTAAGGATCAAAGTAGAAGAACAATTAATGTTAGCCACTATTTTACAAATAGAAATATAGTTAGGCGACCAAAAATAGGTACCAATTAGCCAGTTTACCCTCTTTTTTGTATGTTTATCAATGGCTGCCACTTTCTCTTCCTCATGAATCTTAAACGAGGACGTTTCGGATGGAACCGCAATTCTCGAAGCACCGATCGTACGGTCCCCCGGCGCACCACCGTCACCGCCAGAACCAATCGAAAATGATGATTCCGACTCCGTCACCTCCACCGCCACAGCACTCCGACAACGATCGGAGCTGCAGCGAACTCAGAGCCTTCGACTGTAACCTCAATTCCCTTTGTGAACACATCCAAACGGAAGGTTTCAACGGCGGTTCATTCTCCGATATTGTCGTTAACGCCATGGGATCCACCTACCACCTCCACCGCTTAGTCCTCTCTCGTAGCTCCTACTTCAGGTATAAAATTAAGACAAGATTAAAATTCTGAAAACGAAAAAAAACCTAAAAAATAACCTAAGTTCTAATTTTTCTATAATTTAAAACTATTTTTATTTTTGAATAAGGAACATGCTGCACCGGCCTTGGAAAGAAGCTAATTCTCCGGTTGTAACGTTAAACGTCGACGATAGCAACGTTAACGGCGAAGCAATGGCCGTCGCGTTGGCTTATTTGTACGGACACCACCCCAAGCTTAATGATAATAATGCCTTCCGCGTTTTAGCTGCTGCTTCATTTCTCGATCTTCAGGTCATTTAAAAGATAAAAAAAAATTTAGTGTTTTTCTTTTTAATTGACCATTTAGAGTTAATGAATTAAATTTTATATATATTTGTTTATAATTTTTTTTCGGAATTTGAAATTGATTGCAGGATTTATGTGCTATATGTACGGATTTCATTATATCTGAGCTCTGGACTTCGAATTTCTTAGCATATCAGGTTTGAACTATGATTTAACAATTCCATTTTTATTTTTTGTCTCTGCTTTTTTAAATCGAAATTTGGATTTACGTTTAGGTGTTTGCCGAGAGTCAAGATTACGGGATACATGGAGAACGAGTGAGAAATGCTTGTTGGGGTTATCTGTGTCAAAGTGGCGCCATGGAATTGAAAGAGGTAAGCATAAAAGGTCGTAATTTTGGTGTTTTTATGGAGCATGACTGAATTGTAGAGGAACTAACTAGAATACAGAAAATGAATATTAAGAAGCCAAAACATTTTCCCTCAATTGTAGGTTAATGGTGAATGTTATTTGTTATGAATTTTCCAGTATGCTTATCTTATTGGTCATTGGGTTTTCCCCATCATGGATAGGTGCTTCCTAAACTTTCATCTCAGACTCTACATGCATTGCTCACGTCTGATGAGCTGTGGGTACCTAGTGAAGAAAAACGGTAAGATGTGTTGGCAGCCCTGTAGCTAAATCTGGGTTTTGCGGTTTGTGATTAAGTTGTTTGATGATAAATTGTCTTCATTTTTATAAAAGATTTGAGCTAGCATTGTACACCCTCCTTGCAAAAGGTGCTTTTTACCAGCCTGAAAGATCTGGTCAAGGAAGCCACTCTCCTGAGATGGATGTGGGCACTTCTCTTGAGTCTTCTAAAGAAAAGGGAAAAACCTTGGTTGATAGCTTCCAGGGTAAGACATTGGAATCCGAATTGGGATGCCTAAATTTAAAAGATGACCAAGAGCATTGTAAGAGTGCTCAGAAGCTCCCGGTTGATCTTGCAGCTTGTGTAGTTGACATACCGGCAGGGGTATCTGACCAACAGGTTCAGCGACCCAAATATGCTTGCTCAGAACCAATGTATCCCTGCAACAAAGATCAGTCTTCATCAATGAGTAGCTCATCTTCAGAAGGGATAAGAACTTCACGTTCGTATGCTGAACTTCCAATTGGTGATGGAATGAGTGGAGGAATGGCTATGGAGGGGCCATCTGAGGAAGGTTCATGTTATCTGTTGAATAACAATAACTGGCTTGCAAGCAATCAATCAAAGCATTGCTCTTCCGAGGATAGTGGGCTCATGTTGAATGATTGGGGAAGATGTGACATGGCTTCTCTTTCTTGGGGTGGCAGGGTTGTGGGTAAAAGACAGGTGAAAAGCTACGCAAAAGGGAACTGCGGGGTACATGGCGAGGAATATGATGCTTTTGTCAATATATTTGAAGGGGGTTCTCTTCTATATTGCAACATGTCCTTTGAGGCACTCTTGAATGTGAGGAAGCAACTTGAAGAATTGGCGTTCCCTTGCAAAGCTCTGAATGATGGCCTTTGGCTGCAGGTTTGCTTTCTGTTCCAATTTGTTTCCATTTCTGTTCTTCTGCTGTATTAAGAAATACTTGTAGGAAGTTGGATATATCAACATATTAATGGTTATGCTAGTTATAAACACAACTGATATTGATGATTAGGTTTTAGATGGTATAGTAGAGTTTCCCCCTCTCTTTTTTGGGGTTCCCCCTCTTTCTAATATAAGAATTTATAATTTCTTTAAAAATTGGTTGCTGCTTCTAGATTTAATAAGAACTTGATTGCATTTGTTTGCATTTCTATAATGTAGATGCTGTTACACCAGCGGGTGCAAGAAATTGGAGCTGACACATGCAAAAATTGTTGCCTGACTAGTATGCAATGCAGTTGCAGGCAGCCCTTTGGATACCTTCATGGAGTAGCTACTACAGGTTATTACATGCAAGAGCATGATCAAAATCATCTAACTGCCAACATTGAAAATGTATATATGGCTGAGAATGCTCCAGATGAAGGAAATGGCCTCTTTAGGCCGGTAAGAGTGCAGGTTAGGAGGGTTAATGATGGGCTTGCAGGTATCGGGTGTGGTGCTACTTTTGTTCCTGCCACTTCGTGGACTCCAACACGTTTTGTCTTTTCCCGTGTGCCCTTTGGTATTGGCATCCGAAATGGCCAGCAATCTCTTGCTAATGATGATTCAGAGGCTAGAGCAGACCATAATGGAGACATGTCTGGAGGTGGCTTAACGGCTCTGGTGGAGTTAATCCAAGAAGGAAGTAATGCCAATAATGTTCATGCAGAACAAACAGATAGGAGTTCTGAGATGGACTCGCATAACAAAGTGTCTGTAACTTCCATTGCAGGCCCGGCTACTAGTGGGATTGCTGTGCAGATGTTAGAGTCACCAGAGCATGCCATTGGAATTGATTGGGAAAATGCAACTAATTCTTCTATATCTTTGGATTTGAGAACCCCTCTGAGTCACTTCCCTTCCTTTCGTTTTGGGTAAGTTTTTTCTTGTCATGCAACTGTTGGTCTGTGCTTCTGTGAACTGTGAAGGTTGGTGCATACGATATTGGTGGAAATTATTCTACTTGGCGTCTTGCTTGTGCTTTATTCTATATTTGTAGAAGATAACTTTTCTCTGTGATAATTTTACCGATGTTACTTTTTAATTTTGCATTCTTGATCTTGTTTCTAACACATGCCGTACTTATCTCAAGAGAAGCAAGACCTCATTGGTTGGGGTTTTAGGGCTCGTTCGATTTGTTATATAGTGCCTTTGTTAAAATACACCTATCTTGTCTCAGCATTATTCCGTTTCTTTTTATTTTTCACTATAGAGTCGAAGACTATTTTCAATAATGTTCTGTAAATCTTTCCCCGGCTGTACAGGGTTGAATTTGAGGATGTGCTCAGGCTCAGTGATGGTCAAGTCAAGCACTCTCCTGAGTTCTTTTACGCTGGTTCATTGTGGAAGGTATTTAAATATGAAAAATCCTTTCAGATCCTTCAGGACGGATTTACCTCCCACAACTGTCCTAATTCTCCTGCTTATAGAATTTCTTGATGTTACAAGGCTTTTCAATTCTATATTCCATGTTTTTGTGAAGATTTGCATCATAAGATCCATTTCAATTACAGGTTAGTGTTCAGGCCTTCAACGACGAAGATCCTCAAGGACGAAGGACTTTAGGTGATGTTCTAACGGAAGGCTCTATCTTGAGAACTTATCCTTTTTTTTTCGAGATCATTAAAGATGGTTTTGCAATTGTTTTCTCAACTCATTTTTGGCCCACTTCAGGATTGTTTATTCACCGTCGGAAAGCCGAGATAACCGAATCTCTCAGTAAGGTCAGTCCTCTTTCACCTAATCATGAGATGGTCCTTTATTTCATGCACGGAGACCAATCTTTTCCCGTTTTTGTTATTGTTTGATAACTGTAATTATAGCTTTTGAATAATTAGGAACATCTTGTTTCTACTTTTCAGGTTCACATGTATATCGATTCTCGGGAAAAGGTTACGGCTCGATATCAGGTACTAGATTCTATTACTTAATCTAGATTTTAGTACAGTCGATTCTTGTTGTCATCTTTAAGTGGGGACAATATCGTCTTGTAAGTTTAACCTAATTCTTTGGTTAAAGATCTTATGCCAAAAGAAAGCATATATGTATTTGATTAATGCTTCCGATTTTGATGCGGCGTTTCATTTTTCCAGCTAATTTGTCCTTCAAAGCGAGAAGTAATGGTGTTCGGGAGCTTCAAACAGAGGGGCACTCTTTTACCGAAAGCTCCCAAAGGTTGGGGATGGAGGACAGCTTTGTTGTTTGATGAACTTGCTGATCTTCTACAAAATGGGGCTTTGAGAATAGCTGCTGTTGTGCAGCTTGTATGAAATCAAACAAATCAGATGTACAAAGGCTTTTTTTTTTCTTTTTTCTTTTTTTCGAGTTAATCAGACTTGGATGAGAGATTCGGATTTGAGTATGTTTGCATATTTAGAGATTTCTCGGAAGGTTCTAAACTTCGATACTTCAAGAAATGCGAAGAATCGGAGAAACGGCACGGATCATTCAAGAAACTAGAACTTGACATCCATCGTCTTCTGCACTTGTAGTGACGATTCTTGTATCACGGTGAATTATATTTAAGTCAAGCATATGATAAAAGTACAGATAATGCTCCTTGAATCACTTGCCAATGCAATCAATGCAGATTTCAAGAAAAATTAACAATTTCAGCCTTTTTACATTTTACTTGATCAAAGTTGTAAAGTTAGTTTTATTTTGTCTTTATCTTTGTATTTTACGAAAATTGAAAATTTAATCCAGTTATTGATGAACACATGTACTTGCATTGTTATTTTTTAAAATTAATTTCTCGTTTCTAAATTGTATGATTACTGGTTTTCTTTTTTCTTTTAATTTTTTTAGAATAGATACCAGTGAATCATTGTTTATATTACTATACTTTCAGTTTTCAATTATGATATTGAACTTTAGTTTTGACTTTAATAATACTATTGGTTTGTTAAAATTTAAACAACGAATATTTCAGTGCGACTGTTGACCCAAAATAATATCGTTTAAGAGACTAAACTGCATCACTTTGTGCTATTAAAATTTTAAATTGTTCACTTTTAGGCACTGCACTTTTTTTTATCGTCATTGGAAGTGAATCATCGTCCATCACATGGAATCATTCATGACAAGATTAATATCAAGATATTTACATTTCACTTCACACATCATTTTCTTAGTATTGATTTTTCATGAAACTTACTTAAAATCAACAAAATTATTTCAAACCGTAAAATAAACATTCGAAACGAGTGGAACATCAATCCAGACTTCAACAAAGAAAAAGAAATCGCCCAATTTAATAGCACCTCTCATCCAAATATTCGATAAAATGGTCAGTTTTGACCATTGGTAAAAATATTTAAGTATATACATATATATTTCTTAAAACCATATAGAATATTACATGACATGAACAATGAATGTGCTTTTGAGGTTATAAACCAAAATAAAGAATGAAAAGGTTTTTTTTTTAAATATTACACTAGGCATCAGATTCATCACAGATGTACCTGAATTGCAGCTAAATACGCCGGAAATATGCGAACAAGCAACGTCGATGCCGGTGTGAACGACCCGAGATTTGAAGAATTGCGGAGTTTTCTTGAAGACCCCTAAAAGAGCTCCCATGCATTAGACTGCCATAAGCGAGTAGATTCGTACAAGAGAATTTATCTTTCAGTAGAAATATTTAGGATAAATTACACTTTTAGTACCTCAATTACCACTTTATTCCGTTTTGATTATTCATCTATTTTTTTCAAAATCATACATAATGTAATATTTTGGTTTTATTTTGGTCACTCACTGTTAAAAATTTAACAGAAATATTGACGAGATATTTTTTTAATGATAATATAACATTATCTTTCGGTGATACGTCAACATCACCATTAATTTTTTAATGATGGGTGACCAAAATAAAACAAAAACTAAACGTTAAATATAATTTAAAAAAAAAACATTTACATCACTAAATGGAATAAAAGTAATAGTCGAGATATTAAATAGTAGTTTAGCCAAATATTGAATGTAAATGGCGACCCGGGACGGGTAGTACGTAACTAGACATACGAGAGATGGAGTTATAGGACAGGGTCGGATGCGGCAACGAAAGCGGTCGTGGCGTGCGTTAACGAGGAACTTTCTTCCGACTCAGTATCTCCTCCTCTTTAAGTCGATGCTGGAACCTGGCAAGGCGAGCTTGAAGGCTCACTAGGCTGGCGGCCTTGCGCGAAAGCACAAAACTCAGCTTGGTAACATAACTGTCAATCTGGCTGCCTGGTTGGTCCACCTCAGCCAACAGCTTCATTTCCTGAAATAAAGACGCAAAACACAACAGACATGTTAATTTTGAACTAAAAGGTATGATAATCGCGAACTTATCGATGCGTGTTTTGGTAGTTCATGAGGATCATGACTCAGAAAAGAACGTAAAAGGCATCGTAGATGTCTAGTGTGAATCACTTATGAGCCATGAATCGGATGGCAAATTCAGTTCATTGCTAAGCCTGTATAATTTAAAAGCTTTGAACAATGACAAAAATATCTCTAACATCTACTAAACAGTCATTTTTGACTTTTTTTTTAGTATTTGATCATAACATTTTATTTTAAACAAAATGATCCCTGGTTCGATATAATTAACTATCAATATTCTTCATTATCTAGTAAGATCTACGTGTACATGAGTGATACATGACACATGCCACATATTCAAAATGAGATATACACATAATACGTATCTAAAATGATAACACGAGTACATGAATGATGGCATGACACATCATATATCCAAAGTGATGACGTAACACATGTCACATGTCTACATTAATGACATAACATGTGATACATCCTCATTTTGGACATACAAGTCTTATCACGTGCTTTTATTGTTAGTTAATTAATTGTTTTCATCCAAATAATGGTAATTTTACCTGAAAATGAAATATTGTTAGTCAAAGTGCTAAAAAAAATAGAGACCAAAATAACTATTTAGTTAAACGTCATATATATTTTTAATATTATGAAAAAAAAATACCCTTAATTAAGCGCAAGGTTCTTACTTCGCGAACAGTCTCCATTGTATCCTCGATTTCTTTTCTGTGAGCAACGATTAAAGCCTCTTTCTCCTGCAACAAACCAAAAGTATAAGCGAAATGAAGAAAATCCAGAGAGATCTTACCAAAATAAAACATAATGAACCGTATTGATCTCTACATCAACTATTGATTTGATATTCCCATCCGTAGGAAGCTCGGGATCACATTGTCTATGTCCAACATTATTCGAGCCGATATAATTAACATAATCCGCCAGGCTTGAGTTTGTAGCAGACAAATCAGATCCTCCTACATCATTCTTGATCCAGTTCTCCTCCATCTTCTCAGAATTTTCTTCTCTAGTCGCTTTTCGATGCGGTGGTGATACCTTGTACACTTTCTCTTCTGTATCAATTGAATTTTGAGAACTTAATGAGTATGTCCTTTGACATGCTGAACCACCATAAGAATTATTCCCTTCAAGTCTCTCCCTATCTGTTGGGCCAGAGCTCGTTCCACTTTCCTCCCTCCTACCTAAAAATCGACTTGAAGAAAAAGCCGAAGGTTGTTTGTCAAAGTTGACAGTACACACATCTTTCTCTGTAATCCTTCGATCTGTATCGACAACTTTTACTTCCTTCGGTTGCTCATAAACATCTTCTACATCTGAGGTAGCTGAGAAAGAAGATGCATCCTTATTACTTGGTGGTGAAGAAATTACGGCCGGCTCTTTTTTGGGATTAGCACTTTTTGAAAGACTTTTAACCCTGTTCAGTTGGATGACAATAACCTTTACTTAGACAAGAAGTAAATACAATCTACAGTAACGAAAGGAAATTTGTTATAGAAACAAGGATACCTATTAGCATATCTCAGAGTATTGAGAGTGTGTTCACATGAACCGGCGTTCGGAGAAATACAGGAGATCATAACTGTCCTCGAGCTGCCAACAAAAGAGTCACGGAGCACTTCAGTAAGTTTGCTCCCTCGGAATGGTATATGGAGCTTGTCATTTTCCAGAGCACGAATGCACTCCTTAAGAGCCAAAAGGCTCTTATTAATTTCAGCACCCTCAATCCTGGCAAAAATTCAATGAATCAAAAATAAACCAGGTATGTAGGGGAAAAAATACATGTTAATAGGAAAAATCGGACTTACCTTGTTTGCCTGTCATTGTCAGTGGTGTCCGCACCTCTTTCACTGCCAGCAAGATCAATAAACGAAATTTTTCCACAACCTTCCCGGCTTTGGACTCGTTCCCATCATTGTTCCGCTTGGACACCTTCGCCTTCGAGTGCTTCTTGATGACAAGTTGTAAAATAGCATGTGACCTTGAAGATTCCTCATTTGCACCAGTAGATCCTGTGCTTCTAGCAGCATTTCCCCTCTCAATGTATTCCTTCACGATTTGCACGTCCGAGACCTCAAATTCTTGCAGTCCAACAATGCAGACGCTTTGTTTCCCATCTTCTCTCATAATAAGTCTCCTACAGGAGGAAGTTTAGATTATTGAGTGAATCATTTGTTTTTATTACATATGTGCACACATATGTAAACCGGAAATGCATCTTGAAAGAGAAAAGGTGTGCTTGATATGGGACAAATTGTGCTCGATACGGTCAGAGCAGCAGACGTTTTCAAAGCCATTATATATAGCATAAATCAATCAGGTATGTCTTCAAGAAAAAAATAAAATGGAAGACACACAAGCAAGAGAAATACTTTCTTTCACTCAGAAGGTCGTAGAGTTTTCCGCCATATATCTCATAAAAGCCAAGCCACAGTTTAAATCTCTGATTACGATAAACTGGCTGGTGCAAGTATCTAACAAGATCTTGGGCAGCTCTGAGAGGTAATGGTTGCATTGTGAACGTCTTACCACTACCTGTAAATAATATATATATTCCGTGACATAGAGCAGAAATTAGTAACAATGCCACATTACCACGAACTAGAGACGTGCAGAAAGATCAAGAACCAAGAAAAATGAAAAAAAGACTACCTAGATATAATTTTAAACCTCCCAATTAACGTCTATCATGTTTAAAATACTAAAAGAACTCCATTTGGTTCTCACTAGAACTAATTTCTTCCCAAGTCTTTGAATACGGTAAATGATTTAGAGTTGAGCAACAATCTACATAAACCAAGGCAGAAGTTCCCGGCATGTATGAGGGCAAACATCAAACAGTGCAATAGAAAATAACAAACAGTTGCTTCAAAAAAAAAAAACAGAGCCCAAAAAGATGTTTGTACATTTAAAATCCAAATTTATTTCCCAAGAAGGTCTGAGAACCAGTTTCATGTAAAAAATATAACGTCAACGAAACTGAAAGGAATAGATCATAGATGCCTACGTGCTATCCAAGATGCATGTAGCCTTTGAACAGTTTTCCTTCGACACGAATATAGCATAAAAACAGAACATAATATATATAGCACATGTGCCTGCCATTCTGGAAGAAGGTTTAGAAACTATGCACCTGTTTGCCCATAAGCAAAACAAGTGGCTTTTGTTCGCTGAAAGATGATGGGAATAATCGGCTCAACAGTTTCTCGATAAACCTG